CGGCGATCTGCCTATAAAGAAGCACCGTCAACACATAATGGACAGCTGGGACACTAGAGCACTTAAAAGCCTAAGGCAAAAGTTATAAAAGGAAGATTAAACCAAAGGAAAATGACAAATTTAACAAGTTACTTTATGTACACTATTAAAATCATTGGCCACAATAATTCCTCGAATTTCCGCACACGCACAGCGCTCTTTGTCATAAGAAATCGGTCTTCTAAACGAAAGTAATAGCATGTGAAAACTGAAGAAGGGATATAGAAACGTATCTTGACCCTATTATATCTATTCTATAAGAAAAAAACGAGCTTTTTCCTAACAACTATTGCTCAAGCAAAATACTCTCCAATGAAATCTCGTCCAAAACTCTAAAATAGTGTTCTTACAATGATTAACTAACCTGTTAACTGGTAAGAGATCATTTGCTTTTAGTGCGGCCTCCAACGTGCTGATTGCTCTTTCAAGGCGCTCAATTTTTGTAGCTGCCATATAGCAATCAATTCAGAAACGGTCTGTTTATCGATCGGTATAAAGACACCTGCACGTTATTTATGGTAGAATCCTGTATTTAGGAACTGGTAATTTAAGAGCTGTTTAAATCTTTTAGGCGTCAGAATAGAGTCCACAGACACTACACCTTATTTAACGCAATGTGATAATTCCTTGAGGACTGAATCTGTTGGAGTAGTACAATTTGTAAAGTTTTCTTTTTCCTTTTACAAGCATTCTAGGAGAGTGGTTTTTAAAAACTGATTCTTTTTAATAGTACTGGGATGTGGTGCTTTCCTTTCCGTTCTTCGCGACCGCATCTGCAGCTTGGATTGTAATGAGGAAGTTTATCGTCATTCACTCTTAGAACTAGGTTGTTATCTGCCGTATTCTGGGCCGTTCTTTCACAGACCTTATTATCATTTTTTTGATTACGTAACTCGGCATCGCATTTATCACAATGTGTAGATCCCAGCTCTTCTTGCTTCGATTCCTTTTCTGGCATCCACCATCCACCACGGTCTCCGAATTCCTTGCCTGTGGGGTTACCCTGCTGTTTGAGAATTTTTTCGTGTTCGTTACCAGTGTTGTTGAATGCTCCGTCCGGCCGATTCTTTCTGGAATCCTAAGCTAGCCGTGCTAAAACGTTCCCAGGAAGTGAACTGCCATCAGGATTTGTTCCTTTCTAATATTGGCGCTTTGTAAGCAAGAATGTTCTGGAAGAGAATGGAACGTCTTGTTCAGCTCAATAGTTCTTCCAAAAATCCGTGCTGGAGCGCTTTAACGGGTGCGGAGATGAAATTTCGCAGGGATTTTTAAGCGAGACGTTAAAACATTCGAGAGCGTTACTTGAAAAAAGTAGCATTACTGTTGGTTATGAGTGTTCCGTATTGTTATTACTGGTGAAGAGGCTGACTACATTCTTTCAACCAAATGGCGACGGTACTGGCTTTTCATTAACTGCGAGCAGTTCTTCAATAACTGAGACACTTGAGGACTTAGAGACGTGGAGAACATAGAAGGGAGTCTACGTTATCGCCACAAAAGTATGAATGGTTGTTCTCATTACAAAATGTCTTGACGTTAAAATAAAAAGTGACAGAAATATACTTACTTAATACTTGATACTTGAACGGCCCGCCCTCATTGATTGTGCGGGCTCCAGTATAATTACCACTTTTCGTTGCTGGTTAAGCCATTGTGGTTCTCTGGAATCCCGGGATCAGCCTGGCCAAAGTCTGCCCAGATCTTCACCACCACAGGCAGTCGCAGCCCTTGTAGATCAGAGGGAGATTTACCACCATGCGACTTTGATACCAGGGCGGTGGCGGATCCTGGTATCGGTCTACTCTTAGCTAGGCTTCTTGACGGAAATGCCGGGTTCCTTCTCGGTTTAGGAGACCCTACCAGGGAGACGAATCCACCCGCAGTACATCGCAGTCCGACACCCAGGAACACCTCCCAGCCACGATGAGGCGGTAAACCGTTGGGAAAACAGAAATACAGTTTTCAGAAAACGAGTTTTTAAAACGAGAGGAGCACCAACATACATTAGCACACTGGCGATGGCACCGATTTTGTTTGGCTCCTATATATTTTCCTATAACAGCGGGTACAAAGGTGTTGAGAGCTTGTCATTCTTATTGAAGTGTACCTTATCTGTTGCCGTTACATCATAAACAATTCGCAAAACTTGGACCCCAGGCCAGATCGAACCATGATTGCTTTTTCCGGGGGCTGGGTAGTGCAGTGTGTACCACGCGAGTCCCCGGAAAGAGTAATCATGGTTCGATCTGACCTGGAGTCGAAGTTTTGAGAATAACTCAGAATCACTGTAGTTGCATTTCACACAATATTCTACTGGGAAAAGTTACAGTAGGCACTAAATAAAAGGTTGAAATTATAAACAATTGTTCTAAAATGTTATTCCAGTTTTCAAATTGTTCGAATTCTAGATTTTCAAAGAATTGAGGCGAAATTTTTATTTATAGGCATTCAACGGAAGCATAACAACTAAAAGTGTCAACGATACCTTGTGGAACTCAATCGCATCTTGCCAGTCATCTCTATCTTGCGGACTCGTTCTTTTGCTTTTTGTTGAAAATATGAGCTTGAAAAAAGCTCTTAAAAAAGTTTCTTGGCTCCAAAAAACAGCAAAATCTAGTAGTGATACAATAGGAAGGCGTATGATTTGTTGATAAAGCTCTTTAGATTGTAACATTCATCACCTCAGTAGATAACGTTCAGTAGGAGCTGAGATACGATTGTTTAAAGTTGAAAGCTTCAGAAAGTAAAGTCATTTTCGGCTACATATGAGTTGCAGTCAATTGGTCCGGAATATCTTCAACGTGAGATAGAGCCTTTCGGACACTGAAATATCTCTGTACACCTAATTCGATTTTAAACTCTTCCAAAGAAGTGTTAACTTCATCCCTGACATAAATTATGCCAACGAAAAGTAGGCTAAGTCTATACAAATATTCTAGTCGATATGAGTCCTATCCGAACTCGATTGTATTGCCGATAAGTATTATATAACAAATTACAGGTGTCATTGTATACATGTATATTGAACAACTATCCTCTTGTGCATGTATATCGTTGTTTTTTATTGCTAAAAACCTGGTTCTTCCAGCATGAAGCTGAGATCACTTTTCAACACACTGAATGCTCTAGATATAAATTCGTGTCTAGATCGATCTGCCTTATAAACTCGCGTAAGTACTACTTAAAATCCAGCCTAGACGATGCCACAAAGTGACCATCAGCTGAAATACATGGACAACTATACTGGAACTACCAAAAAGAAAGCAAGATTTCATTGTTTTGTTGTCATCTTCATGGATATAGAGCACTGAGGATATCGAGCAACCTTATCCAACAACTAATAGGAAGCCTGGAACGTGATGCGATGAGATGCCAAATGATCATTAAATCATTCGACGTGAGTCAGTCACAACAACTGTATTAAATTGTGACACTGTTATAGTAATTTCGCCATGACAATGTCCTGCACTATTTCGTTCTAGAGGGAGAAGAACGGACTGGTTAGTGGTGCAGTCGATAAGGAAGCAAGGCGCTGTCTTGACCACCTCCCCAATGTTCTCCCTCAGTCCACTTGGGAACGCCTTAGCTCGGCTGTCTCCAAGAATACAAGGGGATTCGACTCGACCAACATTCTAAGATGGAGTCCTCAAACAGCACCCGAAGCCACACGTAAAAGTTTGAAGACCTCGGTGGATGGTGAATGCGAGGAAAACGAATCGAATGCATGAAGTGTTGGGGTCCGCACAGTAGATGTGATGACGTTCATGTAAGTAAATAAGCAAATAAATAATAATATTTCATAACCCGTAGTATAGCAATTTGGTTCGAAGGTGGTAAGTTGTTTAATTCATAAATATCCGCATGCTGTGACTGTCGCGCGTGTGGCGCAGTGCTCGGAGGCGCACTGCAACGCACACGTGGAATCAATCCCATCACCCATGGCCCACCAAACCTTCCATCCCTCCGAGGTCAGTAAATTGGTACCAGAATTGTCTCGGAGGATAGCAGCACTGGCTCGATACATCGGTAGGTCACCGCGAGTCATTGTAAAAGCCACATATGTATTCAGTCACCTCCAAACGCTTAATGAGGTCGAGTGCATGGCGTATCCTTCAGGAATTGCTCAACGCCGGGGTTTTATCCTTTTTTTTTATGCGGTGGGCGAAATGCGTATCCTTTATCCGTATCCGTTGTTTGTTTTACTACGAGAAGTTTATTTACTGAGCATTTCACATTCATTGGCACAGCTTATTCAACCCAGATGCATAACATGTCATCCCTGAAATAAGCTTCTATCTACACTTAGCAATTGACAAACAACGTCTTTTTTCGGACGAATTTTGCAGTGCGTCGCTGGCAGCGGGAAATTAGTTGTAGCCCCAAGCGCCCATTGTAGAATATTAGGCTTAGTCGCTATTTGTTAAGGACCTATAGAGCTTATTGGCCGGATAGCATCACAAGATGATGTTTTCTACGAGCTGTGACCCACCAGCTACTCAAAATCTACGAAATTTTCATCAGATGCCAGTTGCTCTAATCACTAATGCCAAGTATTTTCTGAATATGTAAACCCATAAGGTAGGATGCCAGCATCGGAGCCATGGTGAAGATGCACCGCTCACAAGTTCTATCATGCCCTAGTGGGGCAAGCGACATTCCTAAAGGACTCTTATTTTTGAGTAGTGTAAAACTTATGAAATAGGATCCATGCCTTTAAATTGTTGACATTTACCCAGTTCATCCACAAATTAAATCTCCGAAGATCCTTCAATACCGAGTAATTACTAAATTCAGTTATGTGCACTTTTCAACCTGTCTTTACAACATTTATGTGACATTTAAACCAGTGGTCGCTCTCTTGTTTGTACGAGTTATAAGTAGTGTCCCGTTTCATGACAATACTAGGAAACAGTACAATACAAAATATACAAATATTGAAGCGATTTCAATACAAATCCATCTTATGTACTAGATTGCATTCGTTCCTGCAATGCTGCAGCAGTGCTGTGTTGAAAGAATTTGGTGAGGTATATCGCCTCCATCAGATTCACAACCAATTTTTCACTGAAATATAGAAGTGCTCTGGTTCGTATACTATTATACTCATTATTTCGTGTTTTTTTCTTCTTATGTGGCGAGTTCTAATTAGCAGCTTCATGAGGACTACTATTCTTCGAAAAATGTGTCGTGAAACGACGATGCTGTTTTCATTGAAGTAAATTCATGTCGTAGCAAATGCGTGTCAACTCGTCCTTCTTGCTAACTAGTTGACAGTGATACATGGAAAGTAGGAAACCACACCTTGATTTGTGTTGATCATCAAACTGTGGTAAAAATTCGGCAATCTCCGTAGCGAGAAGTTTTGAAAGATCCAGTGTAAGAACTGTCCGCAGAAATTCACTAGCAATGATACCATTTTCGGCTGGAGTACCGACAGCTGGTGCGTCCGCTACATCGAATCCATCAATATCAATAGAAAATCCGAATCCGACAGTATTTCTGCATCCGTCAAAGAATGTTACTATAGAGTTCGGGTCGCAACTATTTCGATTACGTGAGCTACTAACCTGTTCACTATATAGAGTGCTTCTTGCATAACCTCAGCAATACCACGTATTTCTATTTCATCCATATAAAAGATGCGAACACCGAGATGTTCGAGAAGTTCCTAAACTTCGTCGTTTTTCTAATGTATAACAAAACAGTCGTGAGTTCGTTGAAATGTAACTAGCATGCCGTCAATGATATTCTGCCGTTATAATGCACACCAACGGTGACATTGGAAAAGTGGAAACTGCATAAATTATAGTTAATGGTTAATTTTAGAAAAGTAGTTGCACAAAACGCTTCAAGAAAGCGCTAGTCATTGTAACTCTTACCTGTTCTTTCTTCTCATAGCTTCGAATACCGATCATACACATGTTATGGGGAAGAATTTTTGGAAATTGATCACCAATTTGCACCAATTCCTTATCACCAAAACCTAGAAGATGCGCCACTGGCATTCCGTGTAGATTTCCTGATGGTGATGATGACGGTGTATGTGCATCCTAAAAAAATAATATCTCAGCTTGGTTCATTTGTTCTGAGCACAAAGTAGTTGTTCTTAAACACTTTTTCATCACATCGTTTGACATTTTGACGAAGTCAACACCCAGCACACGGATCCATTTCTTTGTTGTCAATCGTTTAGTTCTAACATTTCTTTTTACTTACTGCTGTTAAGCTAGGATATTTGTTGCCATTCCCCGTGTGTTAGTGTTAATGTCTTGTCTACGTACAGAGTATATTCAATACATACTGCTTCTTACCATATGTGCATCGACCCAGACGAGGCCAAGATCACCGTGCGGTCGAATCGCTGAGGCTACTCCACTCCATGTTCCAATTGCACAGCTGTGGTCTCCTCCAAGTACAAGTAGATTTTCCTTATTCTCGACGACTTTTCTTGTTTGAAACGCTAGTTTTCGGCATGTCTAAAACACTAGAGGAAATAAACTGGGTATTTATCACTAGAATCTGGTCAAAAACTTTCAAGTCATGTGAAGGGTAGGAATCCGAGAAAGAAAGACCGTAGTAGAGAAAACAAAATCGCCCATTACGCAACTTTTGGCGTGACACTTCTGACCTATCCGATAGAATAGTGATGGAATAGAATGAGTTAACTGTATAATATCGCAAATCCTAACAAATTTGATTTCAGTCCTTGTTCTTTTAAGAGTTTACTAAGCGAAATTTTCAGTACAACAAATCACGATTTTCCGGAACCTACCTGTGTGACGCCAGAGAGCGCCGAAAAATGTCGGCCAGTCCGGACTTCTTCAACGACGCCTTTCCATTCGACGGGAACACGTATTTCTGGCAGGAATTTCGAGTTTCGTAAAATGTTCACTGCATTCTCGCATCCGAGATGTCTACAAGAAATGCACTTTTGAACGCTGCACAGTACAAGGTATTGTGTTTGCTGCACTACTTACTTTCCACCACTGCCGTTTGCACAGCCGATGGCTGTGATTGTTTGTTGAATTAGTCGCGACGAAAGCTTCATTCTCTGTGTCTTCAACAATATAATGTTTGCTAATGCATTACAATATGCAAGGATCAAGAATGAAAAAAATCAAGACTAATAAAATGAAGTCAGAATAGGGAATGAGGCTGACGTTAGGTAAATGTCAAAAATTTTTGCATACAGGTGGGAGGTAGTGTTTTTTGACGGCGGACTTTCGTTTCCCGCAATGTGTGGTTATCAATGATTGAAGAATAAGAATTTCACCACGAGGTAAAAGATTGACAAGTCATGCTCAGGACATAGGACATAAGTAAAATAATGAATAACAAATGGAGATATTACTGTATTTGAGCGAAATTGAAGGCGACAACTAGCGGTAGATTGTAGTCCAGTGGTTTTTGTCCTCACTCACGTATCACGCGTATTGGGCTCTGACCCAACCTTGAAAATAACACCCGATTTCTATAAGTATTTAATGCGCATTTCATCGTCACTATTCATTGCTGTGGAAGAACTAGTTATTGTGTTAAAAATGTGACCGTCTTCAAGAAGAAGAGATATTAAGTGATCTAAATCGTAATTTCAGTTTTGCTCTTTATATTCGTCTGATCTCTTTCAAAGTGCACTTTTCTGCATTTTTAGGCTACTTTGTTGTTTTTGTGTCAACTCTTTCCTGAATTAGTTCATTTCCATTAAATGGAAAAAATCAAGCTCGAAGGACACAACACATCAACGCAGAGGTACGGGAATTTGCTCAAGAATTGAGAATAAAGATAGGAACAATATCGCAACACTTTTAAGGAATTAAAAAGTGAAGAAATCGTTTTGAGTCCTAGCGAAACTATTACAGCAAGGAAATCGGAAGACTGATAAAATTCGGCAAGAACCGAGACGTCTGCGATTGGCATTGATAAATGGGAAAGGAATAATTCTGTTGCATCACAAAATGCGATAGAACACTGTAAGGCGTACGTAAATTCTTAAGACATGAAAATGCACTTCAGCATCCATGATCATCAGACCTCTCGTCCACTTCCTGTGCACTTCGACAACCACCTGTTGCAATAATATTCAAAAGCAAAGCCATTGCCACGTTTAAAAATGATCCAGAGCACTAATGAGCAATTTGCAGCTGCGTTGACTATAAGGGTGGATAGAGTTAACAGAGAGGTGCGATATGCACATGCTGTTTGTTTCAGTGTTTCGTTACACTACCATTTTTGTTTTCTTTAGAAAAGAAAGGATAAAGAAAGAAAAGAAAATTTACGATAAGTTAGCCACTGTCCTACTGTGTTCAGAACGGTGTCGGAAAGAGCGGGAAGAGCTTTGTCCACGACTTCTTCCAAGAATAACTGAAAAATTTGTACCTTTTTTCAGCTTAATTCGGTGCCAATGTGGTTCCGATGTAACTAATGTATGAGCAGTCATTCATTCAACGAAATAGTTCTTAAATTGCTTTAATGTTAGTGTGATAAATGTTAAATCACTAACGAATTACTTCCTCTTAATCGAAATAAAACGTTATCTTGAGATTGACTAATGTGATTTAAGAAGGACTTCAGAAACGTAGGAATCAAAGAAGAAAGAATGAAAAAGAACCACTGTCATTATGATGGAATGCTTTGCAGTAGTTACAATACCTGCATGGTGTAGTGGTGAACGCGTTACTCCCCAGAAAGGACAATAGCGCGTTCGTTCCCCACCATAGGCACCTGCGGTCCAGAGTTTTGCAAATATCTCAGCAACGTTGTGGTTGTATTTCGCTTTGCAGTAGATTAACCCATCATCACCCAACAAAAAGGGTCTTCATGGTAATTATTAATTCAGCCATGACATTAACTCATCTAATCAAAGTTGATTTTCTTTGTGGTCACTCTTTTAATTAGCTATGCAACGAATTCATCACAATTGACAGTGCTAAGAAATTGGCTGTTTGAAACGGATAGCGTCATATTGTATCCATTTCAAATCCACCCTCGACTGAGAGAGTGCGAAGGCAAGAACGTTGTAAAGGCCAAATTATCTCTTACTTTTATTGAATATAAACGTCGACATGGCTCATGTTTCACGAAAAATTCGAAAGAAGAAAAATTCAAACAGATGCGAATCGATCCATCGCTCACTTAATTTTTTTTATGCAGGGAACTTTTTTATTTTGAAAGGAGACCTATTGTTTCCCATGTTTGTTTTGCATAAGTGAGTATTCAATGATCGTTAATCTTACAGGAATGCAATCAATTAAAACCGACAATTTGATAAGAAGCTACAAAAGGCATCGTTGAGTCTCCTGATCAGAGATATTCTCGGCAACTAGTGCTTTTGTCCTTTTAATGCTTTGTGTTTTCCACATTTAACCCAGCAGTTGTCATTTCGAATTTCGTGTTTCTATTTCTATATTAACGTCGCGTCCTTTGTATGCTTTCTTTACACGAGCTAGCTAGACGAGACGAACTTATTGCTGTATCAAAGAGGGTTCGACGAGTGGGGTGTTCATTGGTCATGTAAGATAGAAAGGTTTTTGTTAACACAAAAAAGATTTCAGCTACTCATTTATCTTTATTTGAAGTGAGTTAATGATATCTTCCAAAGAGATCCTGTAATTAAAGCTTGTGTTAGGTTGAGTATTATAGATTGCTCTTATAATATTTTCACTTCCAGGATATTTAGTTGGAAAAAATAACATGCTAATCGGGTAATCGCATAAAAGAAACAGAAAATATTTGGTAGCATCCAACGCCCACCATCCTATCGGTTATCGAACGAGTCGGGTTGCAGTTAATAACGTTTTTCTAGATAAACCTACACACAAGCCAGTGTTCTTCGTGTCGAACGCTTGACGTCAATTTCAATGGTTGTGATTAAGACACACCACATGTCCAGCCCACGTGATTGTCGATATCACGGGAAATTCTATAGTGACCTTGAGATATTTAAAGTTTGTGGGAAAGTAGATCGATTTATTTAACACACCATTCTTTGCATTACCTCTTTGATGATCTTAATTTTTGGCCACTTAAATGTCTTGCAGGTTTCCACGAATGCGTTAAGGCACTAGCAACTATAGAGTTAAAGTTAGAAGTTAGTTACTCCTGTTAGACACTCACTGTCATGAAGAACCTAGAATTTTAGCGTAGTGAAATAGTAGACCTGTTCTCAAGGTTTATACTTCAACTAATAAGGTTTGCTCATCTGGTTAGACCTCATACCTTCTTCACTGGTTTTTACCACATCATCGTGGATAGGGGTTTCTAATGGATGCCACTCGAAATCAGCTGTATCAACTGTTGTCCTTTGATCATCGAGCAACTCGACCGGGCCCTAGTTAATCTTTCATTTTGCCCCGTAGCGTGCAATGGTAGCCAGAGGGTTCTGCTCGCTATAGCGGCTCGTTGCGCTTTATATCCCTCTTCTAGGGTTTTCGTCAAGAACTCTGACCATCTGGTCAGTGGTCCTGCGGTGCATTTCACACCCCGAGAGATCCAGCCAATAACGGCCGTCGTCTATCACTTGTCGTTCATACGCGTTACGTGTCCGTACCGCCTCATATTCTATATTTTAGCATATAAAACGGCACCTTTGATTTTTGACAGCGGACATAGATCGGGGCTTCGCGTCCCATGTCTCACTTGCGTTATACGGGAGACTTTCAGCGACTTCCATTGGATTGCGCTCTCAGTAACGCTGTTTGATATTTCTTTTACTTACGTAACGATCAAGCTTCCGACGGAAATTTTAAAGCAGGAATAATCGAGGAGTCGAAAAGGTGGGCACAGCGTCGAGGGTTCTTTGTTTTTTTCACTACATCCTCGATGTTCTTGAAAGCCTCCCAAGCCGCTCGCTTTCTCCTGCTTAACTTTGGAGCATTCATCATGTTGATTCCCCATACTAGTTAGACATAACTAGAGCACTCGGAGACATTCATTCCGTTGAGCATAAGTGGAGTATACGAAAACATTCCGTTCACTCTGAACATCGTTCTGTAAGCTTTAGTCGAAGGCCAATGTCTTTTCACAAACGTTATCAAACTCAGTAAGCATATTTGTTCTGTAGTGCATAATGGTATAGAAACGATATCATCAACAAATTTAATACAGTGTAATTGCCTACCATGGATTTTCACTCCTGTGATGTGTCATTCCAATGTTCGCATGACGTCCTTGACGGTATCACCTGTCACCTACATCACCTGTAGTCCCGTTGATCGACGAGTGGCTCGAGCAGGTAACTGTAAATCTTCCATTTTTCCCTGTAGCGTGCAAGACTAATCCAGTGGCTTCTGCTCGCTCAAGGGACTCATTGAGCATCATATCTTTCCTCCAGGCTTTTCGTGAAGAACTCTGACCATCAGGTCGGTGGCCTTACTGCAGTGCCTTTGACAGCCCGACGAATCCAGTCACTAACGGTTCTGGTCCAGCAGTTGCCACTCGTACGCATTACGTTTCCGGCCCACCTTATATTCGACTGTTTGGCGTGTAGAACAGCGTCTTTGATTTTTGATCGTTGACGCAGGTCGGAGTTTTGGATCACTTCCACTCTTTGCGTGACACGGGATACTCCGAGCATAGTCCTTCCGACTGCGCGTTCAATAACGCTGAATGATTTTTCATTCTGTTTACGTAGCAACCAGGTTTCTGACGCATACGTTAACGCAGGAAGTACCGTTGAGTCGAAAAGGTGGGCACGAAGTCGGGTGTTCTTTGTCCTCTTCACTACATTCTCGATGCTCTTGAAAGCTTCCCAAGCCGCTCGTTTCCTTCTGCTCAACTCTAGGGTTAATCGTTCATCACGTTGATTTCCCGACCTAGATAGGCATAACTAGAGCGTTCGAAGATACTCATTCTGTCTAGTGCGAATGGGGCATTCGAAACCAGTCCGTTCTTCATGAACATCGTTTTTGTGAGATTTAGTCGAAGACCAATCTTTCCACAGACTTTATCAAAGTCGGTAAGCATATATTCCGCTTGGCTGATGGTTGGTGTTATAAGGACGATGTCATCGGCAAAGCAAAGATGATATTTTAACTCGATTCGATTCGACCA